TGTTTCTGGCAAGACATTTCGAGTCGCGGGCTGTGGGGTGACAACAGAACACACGTTGCTCGACCTGCCAGTCAGGCCTCAGTCGATGCTGTGACTTATGCTTGGCTTTGAGATTCGTGGTTTCTGTGTTGTTGTTGTTGTTGTTGTTGTTGTTGTTGTGGTTGTTGTTTTATTTGTTGTTGTATTTGTTGTTGTTGTTGTTGTTGTTGTTGATGATCTGCTTGTTGTTGCTGTACCTGTTATTGTTGTACATGTTGTTGTTGTTGTTATTGTTGTTGTTGTTGCTGTTGTTGCTGCTGTTGTTGTTGCTGTTGCTGTTGTTGTTGTATTTGTTGTATTTGTTGTTGTATTTGTTGTTTTTGTTCTACTTGTTGTTGCTGTACTTGTTGTTGTTGCACTTGTTGTTGTTGTACTTGTTGTTATTTGTCCCGTTGTTGTTTCAAAAATATTGCGTTGACGTTTTCTATTTAGACGCCTAGTCATAGTTGTCGTTCGTTGTTGGTTGTTGCTGTTGTTGATTTTTATATTAAAATGAATGAACACAGGAATAAGTATGGAAACCAGATTTATGTCGGTGAGGCGTTGTTATAATATGTGTTGCATTGAGTCCTATGGTTTGATATTTGCTTCCTTTACAATGCCAGAGTTTACCCTAAACCACACTGTGGAGTAGCTGCAATTTAACATTCTGGAGCTTCCCCTCTTCTGCCTTTGTCTATACTTTGAGAGATTTGCACCCTCCCTCCTCCCCCTCTTTTTTCACCCCGACTGTCCCACAAATATGTGAAACATCTTTGTTGGTGGAGTATCACTCGTCACATTTTTTCCAGTACATGTATTTTTTTTCTTCTTTCTTCGCCGTCTTTATTCCACTCTGTTGACGGAGAAGAACCATGTTAAGAACAAGAAAACTATTGAGTGTATATAGAAAGGGCAAGAAAACAGACCAAAAAAACCCCAATGACAAATTTCTCACTCACTCCTAACAAATGCATTTACTCATTATTTTTCGCGTTCTCTGGCCTAAATGTCAGTGTTCATGTTCTCACATCTTTCATTCTGTCACCCGCCCCATTTTTTCTTTACTTTCGTATTTCTTCTCTTAAGAGGTGCCTTTTACTGGCAGTAGTTGCTTTTGGATTGTAAAATCATTTACCATTTCAGCAATGAACACGTGTTTTGTGTCGGTCTTATGGAGTCTGATACACTGCATCTTAAACAAAATTTCCATTGATACAGTGCAGTCGCTGACATGCAATTATACCATATTTTCTATAGTCATGAACATCATTTTGTCCTTTCTGTAACATTATGTTTTTGTGTCGATTCACTTATACCTTTTCTTCTTGCAGTGGACAAACGGTGTATTGCTCTCTTTTCGGTTGTACCCATTTTTTCTGTTTATAGAAAATCTAGTGACGTATAGATGGCAATTTTTTGCTTTGAGCCAACTTGATAATGCTTGACGTGTTACGAGGAATTTTTATCTCTGTCTAGTATGTTGTTCCCTTATGTCTCATTTATACTTGTTTCCTGACTACTACGCGTGTACTTCTCTTCTTACCTTTATCTGTGTTTTTATGGACATGTATAAGTCTCCTTCCCCATTTCACTTTATTTGTATTGAGATTTGGAGGGTATCAACTGTACGTCCTACTTATTTATCTACTGTACGCTTTTTTCCTCGACTTTTTTTTACAACACTGAAAACCAGATATCCTGCTTTTCAACTTTTAACCGAGCGCAAATTACCCCCCCCCTCCCCCCCCCCAATCCCGGCCCCTCTTTTTTGTCTCTGTTTTAGGTGGTTGCCAACGTGTTCATCTATTTATGTGTGAACGTGATCGGCGTGTACTTCCACTACCCGATGGAAGCACAGCAACGAGAGGCTTTCCTAGAAACACGAAACTGTATCAGCGTCAGGCTGGCCATGCAGAAGGAGAATCAGAAACAGGTAAGCTTTGATATTGTAATATATCGATGGTGCTGGTTGCAAAGTGGCCAACTCCAGGATCCATTTCTACTGGAGCGAGAGAGAGAGGGGGGGGGAAGAGAGAGAGAGAGAGAGAGAGAGAGAGAGAGAGAGAGAGAGAGAGAAAGAGAGATGGATGGATGGATGGATGATTTTGTACCTTCACATATGTTATTCAAAAGAATTAGAGGTCTTTGAATTGTTTTTTGGAGGTAAAGTGGGTTTTTTTTTGGGGGGGGGATTGCTTCGGTACACATTGCAAAACGTTTTTTCTACGATCTCAGACTCAATGTCAATTCTGCTTCCTTCACTATCGATGCAAATGTACTCAATTATTTTATTGTTTTCATTTTGTTGGTAAGCTAGATGAGAAGGGGGTATCTCTTCGATCGATTTCAATAAAGGTTTTAAAAAAAAATCTTTTCAGTTCAGATTCCTGTTCTTCTAATTTTATTTTTCAACTGTGTGAACTGTGATGAGTAAAGTAAGGTACAGCTGGATGGGCGGACTATACAAACACCTTTGTGTCAGCGATTTTGGGATGAATGGCCGAGAACCATGCCTCCCCTCAACCCCCCCCCCCCAAAAAAAAAATAAATAAAAATACACATGTACACGAATAAGCATTAAAAATAAAACGAACGCCCTCTACTCTAATTCTTTACTTGCTTCTATTGTGTTGGGACGGGAGTAACCCAAATTCAAACTCAAACTTCCGTGACTGTAGCTATCGCGATCTTTAATTCTCTAAGTTGTGAAGCCCAGCAGTGTTAGAGTGATGGGAAGTACACGTTGCTTTAGCGTTGTGATAAAGGAAATTTGATAAAGTGAGCGTATCCGTAAATTAATCTGATCTATTGTTCTGCGTGAGAAGCTAACCATCCGCATTGTGTTCACGAAATTGGACTCGTGTATGTGGCCTTTTATGTGTGCTTCAAACCCTTGTTCATTTTCGGAAACAATTCGTGCTTTTTTTTTACCCTTCTGCCTGTTCCTGCTGAACGAGTGAATCGAAAGTTAGTCTCAGCGCACAGGTTTACTTTTATCCTCACGGTATCCGATTTGTAACAGTCGTTTTACGATCCCTCCTGTCAGCCTGTTGGTGGTATTATAGTGGGCGTGTCTGTTGTATGATTGTATATTTGTCTTAATGGGCGTTTATCTGCTTGTGTGTATGTCTGTATGTGCATGCGTGTGCGTATATGCATGTGGGCGCGCGCGCGCGTGTGTGTGAGTGTGAATGTGTGTGTATGTGTGTGTGTGTGTGTGTGTGTGTGTGTGTGTGTGTGTGTGTGTGTGTGTTTTCATGTATGCGCTCATGTGTGTGAGTCTATTTCTATTTTCGTGTGAAGATAGAAAATACAAAGATCTAGAAAGCTTAATGACTCGAGAGGTTGGCA